GAAAATGCATTCACGCAGGACAATGCCCCCCATCTGCGACTGTGCCCCCATCTGATCTAGATCTTTACCAATCTGGGAATCCTCCAGTAAGAGTAGTCATCTCTGTCAGATTTGTTTTTGTGACTGTAGCTCCACTAGGAAGATTCCTTTCACTGCCTGTCTAACTAAGAACGTTGTCACGAAGACAGAAATTGATCTACCCAGGAGTGAAACAACAGCAATGAAACATTTTTTTGCCAGTAAAATGGGGATGGTTAAAACCTCTGTTGCATGTTTTATTGCGATGTTCCTGTGGAAGATGTTTATTCACTTCCTGCTTTGGTAACAAAAAACACATTAAAAAAAGTGTAACAGAGTAAGCTTAGCAAACTTTAAAAAATTTTTTGTCTTCAGCTACATTTTAAAGTGCCAGACTATACACACTAAAGTATTTACATATACTGAACAAGAAGTAAAATCACTTTACAGCAGGCCCCCATTCAGCTATAGGCATTGTGAGGAAAATCATCTTCAAAATTCCCAACAGGGGTGCTGAAATCAATCTCCTCTCTTCTTTAAGGCCCTTGCACACAGCTGCCAGGGGCCACACAATGAAAAAACTGGGCGTATTTCTGCACCCAGGAGCCATAGACTGTCTGCATTTGGGTTTCTACATCTTTTATGCATGCATGCACAGGTTTATGCATTACTGGAGTATACCTGCACACAGCTTCATGCAGCCATTTTTGTCTATGGGGTGGCTTTACGTAGCTTCTGTGGCTCTCGGCAAGGGAAATAGGTCTGAACTTTATCATTTAGGTCCTTTGGTGGTTATGTGTATGAGGCCCTACTTTAAGGTTACCATTCCTCCCTGTTGCCCAGGGACAGTCCCTATTGTAATTGGGCTATCCCTGGGAAATGGGGGCACCGCATTTGTTCCCGGGCACTGTAGTGCATTGCAGTGTGCAAGCTCCAACTTATACTCATACTGTATAAGTTTCTGTCCAAATATCATCATTAGAGTGGCATGTGTGTGTTAATATTGATCACCAAGGATGCAGAGGCTGCTCTAAACATGCCATTTTGGACTGACACTTGCACAGAGTTGCTATATGTGCACTGCAATGCACTATGGGGGCACTACAGACATGATCCTCTGCAACTGGGGTGAGCGGTAAAGAGAAGGCAGATGTTGGATGTGGGGGGCACTACGCCAGGCACAATTTGTGAGTTACTTTCTCCTGACCTAACCCCTGATCTCTGTGCTTTACTTAATCCTGTCCCCTGAACTCTGTGATTTACTTAATCCTGACCCCTGCACCCTGTGTGCTACTTAATCCTGACCCCTGAACTCTGTGCTTTACTTAATCTTGACCCCTGCGTGCTACTTAATCCTGACCCCTGAACTCTGTGCTTTACTTAATCTTGACCCCTGTGTGCTACTTAATCCTGACCCCTGAAACTCTGTGCTTTACTTAATCTTGACCCCTGTGTGCTACTTAATCCTGACCCCTGAACTCTGTGCTTTACTTAATCTTGACCCCTGATCCCTGTGTGCTACTTAATCCTGACCCCTGAACTCTGTGCTTTACTTAATCTAAACCCTAAACTCTCTGCGTTACTTAATGGTTCGAAAGGAAGATGTTTTTTTTACCTTAATGCATTCTCTTCATTAAGGTAAAAAACTTTCTGTGTGCAGGCATCAGGAGCCACTGGCAGGGGACCCCAGAAGAGGAGGATCAGGGCTGTTCTATGTAAAAACATTATACAGAGCGGGTAAGTATGACATGTTTATTATATTTTTAAAAAGAATCCTGACCCATGCTGTGTTTGTGTTACTTAATCTTGACCTCCGAAATCTATTCATTATTTATTTCTGACTCCTGAACTCTATGTGTTATTTAACCCTAACCCCTGAACTCTGTATGCTACTTAGGCAGCCTATAGGTTGGTCAGTTTTTTTTCATTCAACCAGCAGGTTGAACAAGGAAAATGACAAACTCGATGTGGGTGTGGGAATCCTCCCCGCTGAGCTGTTGTATTGTGATACTGGGGAGACTTCCCCACCTTCAGAATATACTGATCAGTGTTGCAGGCTATAGCCTGCAGCAGGGAAAATCAGACAGGGCAGTTGTACAGAAACCAATCAGTAGATTGACTTCTGTGCAACCTTCCTGCCTATACATTGATCAAAATTCAGCCAGTCCCTGCTGAACTAGCCAAATCTCGATAAATTGATGGCCAACTTGTTTTGAAAACATTTTTACTGCTTGGTAAGAATATACAGCAGTCTGGACATATGTGCTCTTTAAGAATATAGACAGTAGAAATTTTAACACTTTGGTCTGAATGCTGTTACATTCTATGTCAGCTAGGTATGTTGTCTTGCATTTGTTCAATATATAATTAGTTGTTTATGCACAGTGCCATTATGGTCTACTAGCATTTAGCGGAGTAAATTCTTCATTTTTTTTTCATTCTTTATGTGTACAGTACACATAACAAATACATTGCATGATACATGTCCTTATTTATACATTTATTTGCTAAATGATATTAATGCAAAACATTTAATTAAATATAGAAATTTGTTCACAACAAAAAATTAGGAACTGCAGTTTTCAACAAATTTGTGAAATACGGTTAGAGATAAGCTGAGATAGTGAACATCAGGTAAGAGAGAAAAAGTGTTGTTGGTAAACTAGTATTTAACTTAGAAGTTTGGTACAAATGGAACTCCTTGTCATCGTTGCTAAGGGAACAGAAATATAGAAAAGAAAAGTTACTGACTAATGCAAGTACTTTGTGGATTGAACCTATGATCAGGCTATGAACATTTGAGCACCTTCACTGACTTGATGTCAGAGGGAGTTTAGGACTGAGTGCAAGGCAAACAGCTAAAAGATTAAATGCATATATAGGACCTATCTTACCTGCCAAAGGATTTGCAAGTTTGTCTAGCCAGTCCTGAGATTTACACAAGCCTGCTAGACTTTGGAGATAGGTTGGTGGCTTCACTTCTCTGTGCTGCGGTTAAAGCCCCACTCTGGGATTTAAAAATAAATTACCCTTGAGTAGGGCCTACCCACACTGCAAGGGTTAAATGCCCTTTCGGTCTATGGGTGGTGAAATAAGCTGTAATACTTAACTTATGCCTTGTTCTGGCAAGCTTCTACCACACTGCGCAACTACTCCCCTGAAACCTTTTCTTTTTGGTGCTCCAGTTGGCTAGCAGTCCTAAATTGTACATGAGGACAAAGGGGGCCTGCTCACAACTCTGAGCATTAGATAGAAGTAGAGCGCCAGAAGGTTGCCATAGCAAGGAACAAGTTAAGTGTTAAAGCTTATTTTTTAATAAAAATCTCAGAGTTCAGCTTTAATTAATTCAACAAAGTTAATCCCCTCTGTCCTACATCCTGGAAGGGGATTGGCTCATATTACTAGCTGTGGCAATTTACACAAAAAACAGTCAGGAATAAATTTAGTGATTAGAAATATGTAAATGGATTAAATTATGTTTTTACATATGCCTGAAGTTCAACTCTAAACATTCTAAATGACCTCCGCTATTATTTTTGCTGGACTTAACAACACTTCGTCACTGAAAAATAAATGGAGGTGTCCAGTGATTCCTATAGTGCTGTAGTAGCTGTGGAGATCACAGGTCTGGCTATGTTGTCTGGCTCGGTCACCTAGATTGCAAAACTGGCAGAGCAGAATTTTTTCAGATAAAAGAAGTTCCCATGTACAAGTCAGCTGTGTATTTAGCCGCTTTGCTGGAGTTCAGTAAATATGTGAAGTAGCATTAAATGTGTTTTCACTCAAAATTCACACATCTTTTACCTAAATGCATACTTTTTTTTAACTGAATCGAGCATGAAAGTTGTCTGAATTTTGGGTTAAATAATTGACAAATAGACCTTAATTTTGTTGTTTATTACAATGATGTATTTATTAAGACTCATTTGAAATGCCATTGGCAGATTTTTGCTTTAAGTCATTCACACTCTTCAAGTGTTTTATAATCTGGAGAATCACTTATATTGAGTCTTGTTGAGCAGCGAAACAGCCAAGGTTGAGAGGAGCCCTTAGGATTTGAGACTTAATAATTACAGCAAGCAGCAATTGCAGCTGCTGAAGCATCTTCTGCTGATATAATGAAATCAACAGAATGGAAAGTGAATCTGCACTGTTGATCACTCAGCAAGACTCGTGGGATATTTGTCTGCTTCTGCTGGACATTTTGTTACCTAAATTAAAGGAAAATATCTGAGTCAGTAAAAATGTAAAGTGAGCTGCATTTCGGTAGGAAATGAAGGGGTTGAGGTAATCCAGGTAATGAAGAGATGCACTGAACTCTGCTTACAATAAATGCATGTATACACTATATTGCCAAAAGTATTTGGACACTTGCCTTTACACGCACATGAACTTTAATAGCATCCCAGTCTCAGTCCATAGGGTTCAGTTTTGAGTTGGTCCACCCTTTGCAGCTATAACAGCTTCAACTCTTCTGGGAAGGCTGTCCACAAGGTTTAGGAGTGTGTCTATGGGAATGTTTGACCATTCTTCCAGAAGCGCATTTGTGAGGTCAGGTACTGATGTCAGATGAGAAGGCCTGGCTGGCAGTCTCCTCTCTAATTCATCACAAAGCTGTTCTATCGGGTTGAGGTCAACAAGCTGTTCCCAACAAGTTGGGAGCATGAAGTTGCCAAAAATGGCTTGGTATGCTGAAGCCTTAAGAGTTCCCTTCACTGGAACTAAGGGGCCAAGCCCAACCCCTGAAAAACAAACCCACACACCATAATCTCCCCTTTACCAAATTTTACACTTGGCACAATGCAGTCACGCAAATACCGTTGTCCTGAAAACCCCCAAAACCAGACACGTCCATGAGATTGCCAGACAGAGAAGCACGATTTGTCACTCTAGAGAACACGTCCCCACTGCTCTAGAGTGCAGTGGTGGCATGCTTTACACCACTGCATCCAACGCTTTGAATTGCAGTTGGTGATGTAAGGCTTGGATGCAGCTGCTCAGCAATGGAAATCTATTCCATGAAGCTTGCTACACACTGTTGTTGTGCTAGACTGAAGGCCATACAAAGTTTAAAGGTCTTTAGCTATTGGCTCTGCAGACAGTTGGTGACTTCTTTGCACTGTGCACTTCAGCATGAGCTGACCCCACTCTGTAATTTTTTGTGGCCTACCACTTCGTGGTTTGAGTTGCTGTTGTTCCCAGTTGCTTCCACTTTGTTATAATACCACTAACAGTTGGCCATGGAATATTTAGTAGCAAGGAAATTTCACAGATGGACTTGTTACAAAGGTGGCAGCCTATCACGGCACCACGCTTGAATTCACTGAGCTCCTGAGAGTGACCCAATCTTTCACAAATGTTTGTAGAAACAGTCTGCATGTCTAGGTGCTTGATTTTATACACCTGTGGCCATGGGGGTGATTGAAACACCTGAATCCAATGATTTGGAGGGGGGTCCCAATAATATTAATATACAGAATTTAAATAGCGCCAACAGTTTGCTCAGAGCTTTACAATATAAAGGGAAGCAATACCGCAACGATACAGTTCAATACAAGGTTAGGAGGGTCCTGCTCCTTGGAGCTTACAATCTAAGAGGGAGGGGCTGGTAGTACAAAGGTAATAACTGTGGGAGATGAACTGATAGGAGAGATATAAGATTTGATTATTAGCTGAAGGCAGGATGGGCTTCCCTGAAGAGATAGGTTTTCAGAGTTCACCTAAAAGTGGGCAGAGTAGGCGATAGTCTGATAGATTGGGGTAGAGAGTTCCAGAGGATGGGGCAGGGGTCAAAGGTCAGAACCTTGAGGGACCCCTACAGAAACAGAAGTGGAGAGGAGGAGACCGAGTTATAGGTAGAGCTGAAGGAGCGCTGCGATAGGTAGGAGGAGAATCAGGAGAGAGCAGAGTCTCGGAGGCCAAGAGAGTGAAGTTTTTTGAGGAGGAGGGGATGGTCAACAGTATCAAAAGCCGCAGAGAGGTCAAGTAGTAAGAGTATGGAGTAGTGGCCATTGGTTTTAGCAGTTAGTAAATCATTAGTGAGTTTTAGTAGGGCAGTTTGTGTGGAGTGTAGTGAGCAAAAGCCAGACTGTAAAGGGTCAAGAAGGTTGTTGTCAGTGAGGTAGGCGCTCAAACGATTGTATAATAAGTGTTCAAAGAGTTTAAAGGTAAATGGGAGCAGGGAGATGGGTCTTAAGTTGTTGAGATTGGTGGGGTCCAGCAAGGGTTTTTTAAGTATGGGAGTGATCTGTGCATGCTTTAGAGGGGAGGGGAAGGTGCCAGTAGAAAGAGAGAGATTGAAGATGTGAGTGAAGGAGCATAGGATAGAAGAAGATGGTGACCATAGTAGTTGTGAGGAGAAAGGATCCAGGGGGCAGGTGGTGAGACGGGCTTCTGAGAAAACTTTAGTGACCTCTTCAGTAGTAGCAAGGTCAAAAGAGGAAAGTGTTGAGGGAGGTTTAGTATAAGGTATGCTAAGTGGGATAAATGTCTGTGTAGTGGAGATGCCCCTACGAATTGCATTAATCTTGTTTTTGAAATGATCTGCAATCTCGTAAGCAGTGAGTGAGTTACTGGGTGGAGGTGGAGAAAGTAGAGAGTTAAAAGTAGAGAAGGATGATGAGGACTGGATGACAAGGTATTAATAAGAGTGACAAAATAGGCTTGTTTGGCAGCATGGAGGGAGGAATTGTATTTTAAGAAATCTACACCAGTGGCTCCAGTGCACGACTACTGTATGTCTCTTAACCAGTTCCAGTCCGGACACTTTTACCCCATTCCTGTCCAGGCCAATTTTCAGCTTTCAGTGCTATCACACTTTGAATGACAATTGCGCGGTCATGCAACACTGTACCCATATGAATTTTTTAGCATTTTTTTGAGACAGATAAAACTTTATTTTGGTGGTATTTATTCACCACTTGGATTTTAATTTTTTTTGCTATGTAAATTAAAAAGTCCAAAAATGTTGAAAAAAAGTGTTTTTCTTATAATAATTTGCAAATAAATAGTATTTCATCATAAATTTATTCCGTTATCTTTTAAAAAAAAAAAAAATAACCCAAATTAGTTTATGACCAAAAATTATAATTTTTAAACTTTTTTTTTATTTTTTTTTTTATATTATTATTTATGTTTTTTTTTTTTACATGCCGTCACCCTAGCAGTACAGTGTCACCATAGTGACACTGCACTACTTGTGGGGGGTGATGAAGATTTTTTTTTTTTTTTTTTACACTGATTGCTTTTACACCCATAAAGGCTGTAAAAGCAATCATTTCTCCTTCTCTCTAGCTGCATTCTTGCAGCCATTGAGAACTACTGTGTGAGCTGTGATTGGTCACAGCTTGTCACATGGTACAAGGCTGTTGTGAATAGCCTTGTACTATGTGACCTCTGTGATCATTCACAGATTTCACACATAGTAAGCAATGATGTCAGAAGTGACATCTTGCTTACTACTCTGCATGTGATCACTGATTGGCCAATCAGTGATTACATGATTGGGACCTCGCACAGAGGTCCCGTCCGACGATTGGTGTTCCACTGTGTCCTCCAGACACAGTGGGCACCGGATTGCGGTGTGGGGCACTCCCAGGGAGCGCGTACAAGCTGGGTGCAGGGAGGCTGTTTATAAATGGCCACCTGACCCTGCACTGCCACCTTCCGGCCGTTCATATACATGGGCCGGATGGGAAGTTGTTAAGATTTCTGGTGTTGTCAGTCTGCCAAGGTTGTAATGCTCGGGGCCTGATACTTTGTGTAGTTAGAGGAGCAAGTGAGTCTTGTGTGGATGAAAGCGAACTGTTGTAGACAGAAGTAGCCAGGTCAGGGAAGGACAGGGGAGAGATTCTGTTATAGAGGTGGTCAGTTGCAGAGTGGAAAAAGGTTAAAGTTTTGAAGGTTTCTGCGGGTAATTGTTTGCTGCTTGGAGGGATAGGTTTTTGAAGATGAGGACACTGTGAAGGTGATGGAATTGTGATCAAAGAGAGGAAAGGGGGTGTTGGTGAGGTTATAGGGAGTTCAAAGTTGGGAGAAAACAGGTCTAATGTATTCCCATCAGAGTGAGTGGAGGACTATGTCCATTGTGTTAAGGCAAAGGATGAGGTTAGATTGAAGAGTTGGGATGTAGCTGGGTTGTTCACATTAATGGGGATGTTAAAATCTCAAAGAATGATAGTGGGTATTTCAGAGGAGAGAAAGTAGAGTAGCCAATCAAAGAAGTCATCAAGAAAGCGCAACACCAGTCCAGGAGGCCGATAGATCACTGCAATCCTCGGAGAAATGGGAGAAAATAGCCGAATGCAGTGAGTCTCAAAAGAAGAGAAGGATAGAGAGGGAGGAGTAGGGAGGACTTGAAAGGTGCTCAGTGGGGAGAGAAGCAAACCAACTCCACCTCCTTTCCGATCACTGTGTCTGGGTGAGTGAGTCCAGTGGAGGCCTCCATAGGAAAGTGCTGCAGGAGAAGCAGAATCTGCTTCTTGAAGCCAGGTTTTTGTAATTGCTAGTAGGTTAAAGGAGTGGGAGACAAAAAGGTCATGGATAGAGGTGTCCTTATTACAGACAGAGCGGGCATTCCAGAGTGCACATGAAAAAGGGAGGGTGATTTTTAGGAGCATGGGGATTGAGATTAAATTGAGTGGATTGTGGCTATTCCTCAAGCAGCCTGGTGAGGGAGCCTGGTGTGGAGGTGATATACTGGAGGACCAAGGTTTGGGAGATATCCCCAGAGGTTAGGAGAAGAAGGAGGGTGAGGAACGTAAGATGGGAGCGGAGTGCAGTAGAGTTCGTTGTTGTATCTTCCTGCTGCTTTAATTATCCTGCTTTAGTTAAATTGCTATGTTCAACTGCTGGTTTGCACTCCAGCAGAAAATTCACACACGCTGGACAATTCCCCATCTCTGACTGTACCCCTGTCTGTGACCTCCCCCATAAGCTGGTCTAAATTTATAGGAAGATGATCAAATGAGCAATCCTTCTCTGCCCCAATTAGGAACTAATAAGGGGGGGGGGGAATTGGTCAAAGCCAGATCAGGCATAGACACAGGCCAGGGTCATAAAAGATTATTGACTCTTTCATCACAGAAAGGCAAAAAGGAGGTGAGAATCAATCACCACAAACAGATAAAAAGATATAGACTAATTATCCTAAGTTTTACAGAAAGTCAGTGTGCATCAGTGAGACAGTTAAAAGTGTAAATGAGACAGCAGCATTTACCCTAAGTTTGCAGATACTCCGTGTATAATAGTGAGACAGTTTAAAGTGGAGATGAGAGAGCAGCATTTACCCTAAGTTTGCAGTCAGAACATAGCACTGAGACAGTTTAAAGTGGAGATGAGACAGCAGCATTTAACTGTGAAAAAGCAGAGAGGACTTGATCAGGGGACTGTGTCCATGTGCTGTTTTGCACTCCAGCAGAAAATGCACTCACACAGGACAATATATATATATATATATACACAGTATATACACAAACACTCACACTGCTCAAAAAATGAAAGGAACACTGAAACCACATCAGATCTCAATGGGGAAAAATATCATGCTGGATATCTCTGCTGGATATCTATACCGATATGGACTGGGTAATGTTTTAGGAACGTAAGGATGCCCCATCATTTGATGGAAATGAAAATTATCAACCGTCAGAGTACTGAACTCAAAGACACCCCGAAAATCAAAGTGAAAAAATGATGCAGCAGGCTAGACCATTTTGCTGAAATTTCATTGCAGCAACTCAAAATGGTACTCAGCAGTTTGTATGGCCCCCACGTGCTTGTATGCCTGACAATTTACAGGCATGTTGCAAATGAGACGAAGGATGGTGTTCTCAGGTATTTCCTCTCAGATCTGGACCAGGGCATCATTGAGCTCCTGGACAGTCTGAGGTGCAACCTGGCGGCGTCGGATGGACCAAAACATGATATCCCCGAGGTGTTCTATTGGATTTAGGTCAGGCGAGTGTGGGGGCCATTCAATGGTATCAATTCCTTCATCTTCCAGGAGCTGCCTGCATACTCTTGCCACATGAGGCCGAGCATTGTCATGCACCAGGAGGAACCCAGGACCCACTGCACCAGCATAAGGTCTGACAATGTGTCCAAGGATTTCATCATGCTACCCAATGGCAGTCAGGGTGCCATTGTCTAGCCTGTAGAGGTCTGTGTGTCCCTCCATGGATATGCCTCACCAGACCATCATTGACCCATCACCAAAACGGTCATGCTGAACGATGTTACAGGCAGCAAAACATTCTCCACGGCTTCTCCAAACCCTTTCACATCTGTCACATGTGCATACGGTGAACCTGCTCTCATCTGTGAAAAGCACAGGGCACCAGTGGCGAACCTGCTAATGCTAGTGTTCAAGGGCAAATGCC